CGGCCCTGCTTCCTACGGTTCTGTGATTACAAAGTAAAATGCAATCCCTCGACCTAGGAAATGTCCAAACACTAAGAGTTGCCACTTGAGCTTCAAAGTGAGAGTGGGATCTGAAAGCGATGCGCACCATTTGTATGCAAATGAATCCTCTCATCTCTTTTCTCTAGCCATCACCCCCCAACTTCTCGCCTCCCCTCCACCTCCATCGCATTAGGCTGGGCAAGTGCAAAACACGGCATCTTTCTGCAAGCACACCGCCCTCCCCCAGTAACCTCTGCTCATCTACCACCCTGTTCAGGAACACGAGTCCTGAAGCATAATGCCACGTTTCGGTACCGTGCTATTAGATCAGAGCCTCTAAATATGCAAAAGCCAACCTTGTGATCCAGATCACACATGGGCTTCAGGGGGTACCAAGGGGAGGGTTACATCCTCTCCCTCCTACCTCCCGCACCCGGTCACAGCAAACCACATGCCAAGGAGAGAAAACTAAAAAGCCCCTTATGCTATCCAATGTGACTTTACATCTCCACAGTAAATTACGCTAGTTAATGTGAACTCAGAATGACTCAGGGCTATTCTAAAGGATACAACTATTTCAGATCCTCTGCTCTGTTCTGAATTATTCCTAGGCTTGGTCAGAAATTGTCCACAGAAACATTTCTGCATCAGAAAAGGCCTGTGCACCAAAGTGAAGTACTGCCATGCTTCTACATTTTCAAAACCAATTAATTTAGAAAGAAAAAAACCCTACATTTGATCAAAGAGCATGTTGAAATATTTTTTGAATTTCAGGTTTTAATTTGAGAAGGAAAAAAGAACTTAACCTAAATGTAATCAAGCTGTTTTGTGAAGAATAAAAATAGTTTCCAGCAGATGTGTCCCATGTAGGAATTTCATATCTTTGAGATTTAAATTCATCAAATTTGGTTTAGATTGATCAACGCATTTGAGAGTTATTAGGGAGAAGCTAAACAGACAGTGAGATTGCATAAGCGTAATTTCTTTAAGAAGTCAGATTAAAAGTTAAAAATTAAAGAATGTAAATAATGAGTATTTCAGTAACATATTTCTTCCGTTAAACCAAAAATGTAAAGATTTTTTCCATACAGTCCAGTTGGCCAGAAAATTGTCCTTGATAAAGGATATCAAACAAAACATTTATCATGTATGCCACAGCCCACCTGGCTTGCCAGCTTGAGTTAAGTACCACTCTAATACATGAATATAAGCAGCCAGAGATCAAGAGCTCAGTGCTTCCTAAAGCAATGAAACCAGATAAAGGAACCTAAATAAAATGTAACTAGTTGAGTAATGGGTGCCCAATGGGACAGTATTTAGGGTAGCTTGATCACACTAGTCTGCTGACTGGTGTATATCAGAGGCAACAGGTACTACGAAAGGAGGAAAGAAATGCTTCTGGCTTTGATTACTTTCGTTGAAACTACTCTGGCATCATGATTTGGTACAGTGCCATCGGATGCATGTTGCTCTGAACTCATTTTAAGACGGAAATTAGAGATAATTAAATAGAGGAAAAAATAGGAAAGTATCAACTTTGAGAGTACCTAAAATTCCAACGAACAGTGCTCATTGAAAGCATGAATAAACTACATTTTGAGGTAAAAAACACAAAAAGACATCAGACAAGTTAAATATCTACCATCCTACAAATGGATGGAAGTTAAAGTTGCAGTAACAGGGCTCAAAACCCAACAGGTCTGCTGGTGCTTTCCATTTCTGACAAAATAAGAACTAAGCAGAAACAGTTCTTTTTATTTGCCTTTTCAAAAAAAAAAAAAAAAAAAAAAAGATTTGACTGAATAGAGATGCCTATAGAATGCTATTTCTGGGAAAAATTAAACCCCCCAGATTACCATCTCTTTGAAGTAGAAACTGTCTTTTACTATACACATGTCTAGGCCTATGTATAGTGCCATGAGATTCCAGTTCATAACAAAGGCTTCCAGGCATGCTGTATCACAAAAAAAGCTACATAAGGGCAACTGGTAAACCTAGGAGCCATTGCAAGTCCTTAAAAGTACAAGTTTAATAAGGACTGCGAACAAAGAGACTTACCCTGTAGCTATTGTTTGATTTTAAACAGTAGTTAAAATAGCCTAGTGTCAACTTTGAAAACTGCAAAATTTTAATACGTTAGAAATTGCAACAGAGAAGACAGTCAACAGATTGTAACAAAATCTACCTATTCTAGTTAGATATTAGGTACAAAATCTCAGCATATGATCTGGTAAGGTCACATAGGAGCCTATTACGTCAAGGTCTTGTTCACAAAGCAGGCAAGCGTGGCAAATACTCAACAAGAAAAACTTCTCAGGACAGACCTACGCATCTGCAAAGATGGGCTGCACTTGCAGGCCTTGAAAACACTATAAGGGACACCTACAAATGTTCATTGCTTCACACCAGTGAAATATTTAGGGTTTTCTCCTCAAAAGGGCAGTTTTGCTCTTTAGGATTTACAAGCTCACTTGAGTTCTTAAGTTCCTTTCACAGACTTTTTGGAGTTTCCAAGTTTACAAGCTCTGCAAAAATAGCGCAGTGTTTGCATTTTCTTTAAAATGATAGATTGTGAAATATGCATAAAGTATTCATAGAGATTTTGTCCCTCAACCAAAGCCATATTTATTTAAAGATGCTCACAAAATTCTGCTAGCCGCACCCCAGAAAAGTTCTCATCTCTTGAATCGCACTGCTGGAAGGATAATGGGGACAGTTTACTCTCATCCTCTGCCTAAAGATTCTGTAACTGTGTGAACTGAACTTCTGCATCGTGTGCAATTTTTGAATAGTTTTCACAGTCAAATAATTTGCAAGTTAAATTCAGATATTCATTCTGATATTAATTAGTTGTGCTTCTTTAAAATAGTTCACAGAATGCAATTCCAGTCAAACCACCTCTTTTTTTTTTTAATTCAAATAAACTCCAGTTGAGTAACAGGTTGAGTATGGATCGCACAACTTTACCAAATTGATTAATTTGGAAGATGTCAGATATTGTTTACGTTATATGAAATTGTATGCCCGTTGCAATATACGCCAGATGTAAGAACATCTCTTGTTTTCCAAATGTCCATTTTGTCCTCTGCAGACAGCAGGTGTGTTTTTAGTAGTATTTAAACAGGGCCAGTGAAGACCTTAAGTGTATGGCAGAAAACGTAACAAACACACTTCTGAAGACAGGCAGCATATACTCCTTCTCACCCCTTCTGAAGAGGCATTTTCTTTTTGGCTGAACAGGGAGAACAGGATCACTGTTTGGCTAGGACGTGCCCCTCTATTCATGTATGTAAGCTCTCACCAGCTGTCTCAAAAGACTCTTACTATTGTGAACTGGCTCACTCAGGATTGTTCTCAAGCTGCATGTCTGCTACCTTCTTTGCTTTGGGCATCAGGAATCAATTTTTTGTGCGGAGTGGAACTGGCATAATAACAAGATCACTTTCTACCTTTCCTGTTATATAATACAGGCACAGCAGGGTTGAACAGTCATAGTGTTTCACTGTTTCCCATAGAAAATTACGAGTTAAAAGAGAGAATCTTCATGAGTAAAAAGATTTGGAATTTCCTGGGAAACGGTGAAAGGTGGAAGACATTAAATTCTTTAGTAAGGGCAAGGTGAGTTTGGGTGGGGAGGGCTTAAAACTGAATTAGACTGAAGCAGGGTTACTCTGACTTACCAGTTCAGTTACAGGCTATAAGCCCTGTTGCTTGCACTGGAACCAATTAAAAAGCCTAGTACGTGACAGCAAGGATTAGGCATGTAGCACCCTAACAAAGCGTTAAATGAAAAAAGTTTTCAGCTTGCTTCTTTAATCCATCCCACGTGTCTGTCCTCCTTTCACCTAAGCGTCCTGCCCAGACCATTACGCATCTCGTTACAATGACCTCAGTCTAAGTTACAATTCACTGCCCGCAGAACTCTACTCAGAGCTAAGGTACCGCTGCGAGAACCTGTGTGTATAAGATTACAGTTGTATAGAATACAGTCTGAACTGAAGCAGTGTACAGTCTTTTTTGTTTTAAACAACTCAAATGCAGGTATTTAATGAAATTATCACATTGAGAGAAAAAGATTTACTCCAATTGAACAGGAAATATAAAAATTTCCTTCTCTCACTCCTGGAGCCATTCCTTCCCAACTGAATGAGTAACAAAAAAACCTGTATTTGTAATGCTCAGTATCCCATAACTTTAAAAACTAGTTCTACTTGTGCTGCAAAGCAAGCACTGTTTACCCTCAATTCTTTAAACTAGTACTGATCACAACTACAAAAGAAAAAACACTGTACTTTGACATTCATGTTACCTAAAACTTTATCAAGCAAAGTGTTCACTAAAGCCATTTTTAGCCAACGTCCTTATAAAACGGGTTTTTCCGGTTTTGCTTACCTCTTGGGTTATCACCAATGATGTTGGTTTTGCCATTCCAGTACCAGAGCAGCAATGTTGCATCACGCGATCCCGAGAGAATGTAACAATTTCCTCCAATGTAGGACTCAGAGCGAGCAAGACAGGTTACAACATCCCAGTGTCCAAATATTACTTGTATCAGTTTACCTAAAACACATAAAATTGACTGTTTTACAACTATGTTTTTATTCTTTCTAAGGCAAATTAAATACATTATAAAGTACTTTATATTTATTACATATTTTTAATATAGTATTTTGTCTTTATTAAAAAGGTTTCCAAAAAGAACTACAGTGAAGAGTACTATTTTCCTGTCTTGATCTGGTGGAAACTTATTTAAAAGTGCAGTAGTCCATACAGTCTATACAAAAAACATTTAGAGTTCATAAATATTATACTTTATTTGAAGGCAAATCATGCCAGAAAGATTTTTAATTCTACATGTTTACATTCACTTTACAGACAGGAAACATGATGGGATTCTCTTTTAAGGCAAGTTTAAGGAAAGTTTACCGATGAAAGCAACAGAAAAAATGCAAATCTGATGATGATGTGGGAAACAGAATCAGAAGTAGCTACAGAACATTTAGGACTCAGAAGAAACCAGCAGTGTGAAAGCACATATAGGCATATACCATATGCAGCTTTTGAGCATCTCCTTAAACAGAGAAAAGGAGATTTAGGTGAAAAATTACTCTTGTACTCAGGTTCTTCTGTCACCATTTAAACATTTGCCAATTATTTCAACCAGCATCCTTCCCTTTTAAGAATTTCTGTAACGTTCAAAAAACCTCAGAAGACAGACCTGGAACAAACTCTCTTACCTACTGCATATAGGATAAATGCTTGTACCACTGATAAGAGACATAAATGTTAAAAAGAAAGGAAAGCCTAGGCAACTAAAAATGTGCCATTCAAGAGTCTGTGTAAACATGAATATGACTATTACCTTTTAACAGGACAGTATTTTCAGAAAAACATAAATTTGGATGCTCATGCGTAGTGGATTTGCATGTGGGAGAAGAAACATGTAAGATCTCTCTGACAGACTGCCCTGCCAGAGGCTGGCTCCTACACAGCAAACATGTCATGTGTCCCCGCAGCATATGTGATCCTATGAAATGAGAATGCACTAAAATCCACCTCACTGGATTTGCTGAAGCCTAGCAACTGCAGATCTTGTAGAGACAGGACAAAAGATACACACGCTCATTTCTTATGTGCCTACTTGGCCCATTCAGTTAACATGGGCCAGGCCAAATTCTGCATCCAAAGCCACCAGGAAGTGTGAGGTGTGATGCCATTAATGCGTGACCTCAGATTCCTCAGCCCAAATGACCATGCACCCATTTGTGCTTTGGGTGAATAAAGAATGAGAAAGAACAGAAGGGGAAAAGTGTGATTGCTTTGGAAGGATTAACAACACAGACGAAAAAAGAAATACGAAATGCAAACTACTGTACCTGAAACAAGACGTTCTGAAAAGTGTATAAAAATAGCAACTTGTAATACGACAAGTAGTAACAAATATGCGTGTGGGGACTCAAATTATGCACATCTTAATAAAATATTTTGATGCATGAATTAAAAACAATTAGTCAATCATATAATGTGGCTGGTAGGACACATTTCATAGCCCTCTTTCTACACAGCACAAAGGCACTGTACTCACAGCCAGCCACTAAATAACACTAATGGTAACAAAAGACTTAAGGAAGTGGTTCTGAGAAAATAATAAAAACAATATTAACAGCCTGATTTATAACAGAAGATCAAAAAAGTAATTGTATTAAAGTGGAGAAAACGAGGGAAAAAAACCCCAAAACAACAAGAGAAAGGTATGAATATCTACAAAAAAGGGGGATTACTTACTTTAGTACCTGAGGAAAAACAGAATAACACGATGCAATTTAAAGGAAATGTGTACATCAGATTTGAAATAAAACACTGACAAAACTTACTAGGCAAGTATAATCCTCCAAGAGAAATTGTGAAATGAAGCACTATCACACGAGCCTTTTCCGACTGGAAGGGGCACAAGCCTGTAAGGTACACTCACTGTGCAGATCTACCTTGTACCGAAAGCAAGGATCAAGCCTTTCACTCATCTCTGTGAGTCTGTAATAGTGTTCTATAGCGGTCACCTCTGCACACCAGTGCTTGGATTTGTGCCGCAGGATCACCGAACCAACTCAGATGCTGACCAGCCGACAGACTTAGTCAGAACAAGTATTGGAACTTCACTGCTAGGAGCAGTGAAACACTCACCGATTACACAACCTCATTTTGGCTATATACAAAAACATCTCACCAAGTGTACGTTTTTCCCTGAAAACTCAAGTTGTCAATTACGTGGTTTAGATTTGAGCATAATTTAATTATGTGATATATTTTTCAGTCGTATAGCCATACGTATTCAACTACCTGAGGTGATTTATACTTTTAGAACACAAGTTTATGCTATAAACATCGCCGAGTTATAGAGATCTCTCTTTCAATTATATTCAATGTTTATAGGTTCTGTTCTAGAAAACAAACATTTTTCAAGGCTATGTGTTTGACAGTTGTTCATGTAGTTGCACTGCTTTGTTAGTTTTACTTTGTTACTGCGCAGCTAAGGTTCAGTCATTCCCATCAAAACAAGAAATAAGCTTTTGTTCTTTGTATTGGTAAAAAAAAGAATTAAACTCATGAGAGTGCCTCAACTTTTTTATTTCCTTTAATATGAGTTGTCCTCTCTATATAGTAATATCAAACTTTACCATATGCACTCAGATATTCCTTTTTGACAAAACAAACTTTCTAGTTAATGTTTTATTTGACAGCTGTGTTACAAATAATTAAAAGAAAAATAAGACTCAGGTCTCTGCACTACTGAATCTAAAATGCTGTCTAGAAATCATTCCCACTGCTAGAGGAAGGTTTTACTGTGCTTCTGCTATACTAGCTGTGCTGAGAACCTATGACTTATGTTAAAAGTATTTCCTGTTAAAAGAAAACCCAAACAAACCCAAAATCTAACAGGAAAAAGGTTCTCTTTTGGTGTAAGTGCTAAAATATAATTGAATTCAACACCTGTGGTCACTTACGATCATGCATTACTGATCACATCATCTTTTTCCCTTGCTGTTCTCTACTTATTTCAGAGTATTTCACGACTATCTTCATTTCAATTCAAAGCAAAATAAACTACACCTGAATTCACTTGACTCAAGCTAGAGCTAGAGTTGCTATATTGACAAACAGGAGACCCACAGAAGACACAAATCTTCTGCAACTTTCGTGACAAAGGTATTTTGGTTTATACCATAATTAGCTATGGTAGCAACGAGATGCCTGGTGTATCTGACTTACACACAGAGGGCGTAACTTAATGAGATATTTGTAGTTCAGACTGATACAGGACAAAGCTACCAAAATCATACAAGTTCCTTTCATAGGTGTAAAGTAAAATATATCCTTCAACATAAAAGAATTAGTTCTCTAGTCAAATAAATCAAGAATATACTCTGCATATTATTATTGCTAGCTAACTTTTCAGAAGATCTCCTTTAAATTCATGGTTTTATGTAAATTTATATTCATCAATGAGAAAATTAAACTAAGAAGGGTCTAACAAGATGCCTATATAATTAATTGTAGGCAGTCAAAATGAAGTAAATGAAACTTCTCCTTTATACTTAAGGCTTTAAAACTGCAAAAATGACAGATATGCTAAAATATGCCATGAGATCTATTCTTAACAGATTTTCATTAAAGACCATCTTGTTTTGTTAAACATTTTGGTTTGCCAAGTGTGAAAAACACCATTAACTAATATATTTAAGAAATTATGACAAACATGTAGGATATTCCCTAGGGATTAATAACCTACTGGAAAGCTTGATGGCACACACACATTAACCACACCGGGTCATTAATCCCAAAGAAGTACCTTGCAGTGAGGTCGCTATTCCAATTATAAGATAATGAAAGGGAAAAAATCATACCTATTTTTTTTCTGGGGCCCCATGGCTTTTAAATTCCTGTAGCTCTTGCACTGAAAGATTCTTTTCTATTTAGCATGACATATGCATGAATTCAATGGTTTGGATAGATGCCAGCTGACAGACTAATTTAACTGCTGCCCATTATATCGATCAGTTTATGCTATATAAAAGAATTCAGTGGCTCCAAATCAATTTTTCTATTATAGCGTAGATTTCAAAGGCTTTCATAAGTATTATTTCACCAGATTCAAGACTTCACTTCTGTTCTTATTCTGTAGTGCTTGCCTGTATTTCCTCAAAAAAAAATCTCTGGTGCTGAAAACTAACAGAGTTAAATTCAAGCAAGCACCCTAAGAACAATTAATTCTCCTCTTGGTATGCAAAGCTTCACAAAAACTCATTTACTTGTGGAAACTACAAGTGTAAGAATAGGCATGCCTGTCATATAGATTTGAAGTGTGGTGCTACGGCTAAACAAGAGCTCTTTGTCTTACATTTGCCATCATTCCACAAAAACGATAGCATACAATACACAGTAGCAGTAAGAAAAGATTCGACAAATATTGTTAATAGGGGCATAAATACATACTCTGCTAAGTTCTTCCCCCACTCCCCATTCTTTCTTTATTTGAAACAGAAGGTTGATGATGAACAGAAACTCTTTTAGGCTATTCCCATATTTTAAAAATGTATTACCTGAGTCAGTAGAATAAACTCGGAAACTCTTGTCCCAGAAGCCACAGACCAAGATGTAACGATTATCAGAGGTGATGACAAAACACTGGGAATGTACCTGAATGCTTTGGTCTAAAAGGTCAGTGATTTGCCTTCTGTGCATACCTGTGTTGCTGGCTGAACAGAAAGACACGAAAATCAAGAAATTTTAGCATCCACATGCACAGAACAAAAGCACATTCTAGAAACTTAAATTCATAACAAAACTATTCCTCACTGCTGTTACTGGGGTTTTGTGGCAGGAACATTTTCTTTCTACTTTTACTATAAAATACTCATTACAATTCTGGGAACAATGCTAATTCCTTGTAAGATATATTCTACAACAGAAAAAATCCTTTCTTTAAGTCATATGCAGCTGACAAATATACATGAAAGACTGTGAAAAGAAATGATACATAAAAATGTAATAAACTTCCTTCCCCCCTTCTTCTAGTATAGACAATTAAAAATCAAGGGAATGTAATTTAAGACAGTACATATCCATACATGCTATATAGTAGCTCAAATGCAGCAGACAACAGAATTATTATCTCAAAATTGTATACAAGTTGTATTTCATTGCAAGCACTGTAATTTAAAAAAAAAATAATAACTGCAGTAAACATCACGACCATTTCACGCTTTTTTGAGCATCGTACAAAAATTAACCAGCTTATCTCCACCACCTCCTTCAGGATTGAGAGAAAAGATTTACCCTACTTCGGCCACCTGCTGTTTTATTTCCCTAGATAATCTTGCACTGTGAGCCCACCGAATGGGCAGGAATCAATTAATGAACACATTTTTCATATTGTATTTTGTGCTTATTAATTATGTGTGTGCATATATACATATCTATATATACACATATATATGGGTCCCTATAGATATATAGCATGAAAATCCTACACTGTAGGAAGAACTTTTAATGTGCTTTGTTCCCGAGGGAACCTGACTCCCATCCCAGGCAAGTTAAGTTCTCCTGGGCCTGGGTTTGTCTGCCAACTTCTCAAAGCACCATTACTTCCGTTCCAGGTCTACCCTTCACCTGCCTCTGTCCTGGTCTTGTGCTCTTCTTTACTCCTTGTTCTTTAATCTCCTTCCATTCTCATGGTCTAGTACTTCCTAAGCCTTGGGCTTATTCCATTCATTCTATATCAAATCCTTCATTTATTCATGCTTTTGCTATGTTTAAAATGTTGATACTCTCTTATCCACATGGGTAGCAAATAATTTAGCAAGGTGTTGCCACTTGCTCTGCAGGTAACACAAAACATGGCCTTGACCACAGTTGGGACCACTTAAAGAGTAACAACAATGCATTATAAACGCACCCTGAAGTGTCCTGCATGACAAAATAATGGCAAATAACCCCCCAAACACCATGCAGATAGACAGAAGACACACTCAGTACGGGTAAGATCTTCAAAAAACTTCACCTCAATACGAGGTATAGGATCTATGCCGTATCAGACATTGCTGGTTTACATCTTCCTGTGCAACTGCAAAATGAGGACAGCAGGAAAATCCCTCCTTATGACTAAGACAGCAACAAGATTCCTACTACAACCATAAAAGTGTAATTTTGTGGTCCTCTTAGGTGCCATTTCTAGGTAAATGTGTCTAGCCACAATTAAAAACCTTTAATATTATCTACATAATTACTTGCTTGTACCCAGTGATGCTACGTAACAGTGACAAAGAAAGCCTTAAACCTTTTAAACTATGTCCAATGAAATCACAAGGCCGATTTGAGATTGATTGTATGAAGAGTATTAAACCATTTTTCAGAACTGTGAACATTAATTTTAAAGGTGTTTATACAAAAAAAAGTCAAAGTATTTTGTAAATTAAAGGCAAGCCTGAAAATGGAATTATAATTTTAAAATTATGAAAAACGCAAATTAAAATAAAAAATTTATTACCTTCCTAATGTTCTTCATAATATGTAGAAAAATCATCAGACTGGCCCAATGTGATTTTGTTGGGGTTTTTTTTGCTGTGATGTTTATTTGTATTTTTAAGATCTACTTGATAGCAGGTTTTAAAGCATTCCTACTCCAAGTGTTTTTTGAATAAAATCTATTTCAGGAAGGAAAGGAGAGTTGCAGCACATGTCCTCCTCATTATCAATTACATGTATTGCCTTGTTCAGATGGAAACTGATTTTAAAAACTTTGGAAAAACATTTTATCAGCTCTATAAAATGGTTTAATATGCTCACACTGTTCCTGATTTAATTCTCATAAAGCTTACCTGGTAAAATGGCTACACAGCAACAGTCTGTATCTACAGACCGATATAACGTAGTTCCTACTGTGATATGCATATTAGTTTTGAAATTAATTCTGAGTGGCTGATAAATTTTTTCTCTGATTTTTCCATGCTTCTATAATTGACCACTTATTTTCCTTTTCACTTAAACTACCACCCTGAAAAGGGCAGTTTAAAAAACAGAGCTAAGTTTGAAGTCTAATAGAATTGTGTGGGGAAATCTGTCTCCTTTGCTTCTGTGAAGTACCTTACAACTAGTTTGTACTTTGGGGTTAGGTTGTTTGCGTTGTTCTTTTTTGATCACGTTTAAGGTTCCATTTGCCATGTACAGGCTCCGGAATTATCATCCAAGTATGCACTCCTCAAAGTTGGGTCTGTAATGAAAGAACTGACCAAGCTCCAACCATGCTAATAGAAAAATCAGCTCTATATAAATTAATAAACCTCTATAATAAAGTGTCATGAATTGAATCTATTACATTGAGTCATTAAATGAGAGACATTTCTCCACCTCTTTTTAATAAAAGAAAAACATACACAAATTTAACTAGTGATGCTGATCAAAAGATGCAATACCCTTGAAAAATGAATACTAATATCTCAATACTAAAACGGAGTGGGCACCGTATTTCAACTTTGAAACCACTTTGCAATTACACATTAATCCCCTCACCCTGAAAAGCAGGTCTATGAAGAAAGGATTGATCTCCTTTAATGATGAAACCCTGGCACCATGGTTTTATTTTTCACAACACAGTGCAGTTAAGAACCCCACTGTTATTATGAAAATTTCCTCAGCAAAGGAGCTCCATCACATTACCAGTGCACCAATTCATCATAACGTGCCCCGCTCCTGCTCATCAACAAGTCTGAGTGATGAAAAGATCCAATATTATCCTGACAGTACTTCATGCACATTCTCAATCACACATTATTACAGCATCCATATTAATTTTCACTGACACGCGTCCTAGGCCTGTTCAAATTAGGCAAACCAACGAGGGGGAGTTGATGAAATACCAGCATAGCCACAGCTCATTGCATTCCAATTTGCATGCAAATGGTTTATCAGGAAAATTCCATTCCCAGCAACCAGCAAGTGAAAAACAACCGTAATCTACACTTCAGGGCCACCATACAGAGCTTAATGAATCGCAAAGAGAGAAGGAAGTGACAGACCTATGAGAGGATCGATTTCCACTGGCAGCTGGTAAGGCTGGTCTTGTACAGCACCTTGATGAGCTGGAATTCAGGAAAGAAGATTTTAAAACTCTGCATTTTTTAAATATGTGAAGGCACATACATTTTATAAATCAAAGCTACATCCTTTGTTTAAACTATTCAGATTCTTCTGCATCGAATGATTTAAAAAAAAAAAATCCAGGTGCTTTTGTAGGCTGCTTATTAAACATTTATTTTAGATTAGTGCTATTCTGAATGTATGCCATCAGCAGCAGCTCCAGTCCTGAGCCATAAGCTCTAGCAGATGCTTTTCTGGCAACCTCTCCTGTCACAACAAAACAAAATTAAGTGGTAAAGAGCACTGAAAACAAAATGTGACAACCATCTGCTGACTGTAGCAAATACTATTTTCCTCTCTACTTTTTAGAGCACTGCTTTGAACAAGTGAGGCACAAAGGACATTTTTTTTAAAAAGTCAGTTTATGATGCAGACAGGGAAATCTCATAGTCATCCAGTATTTAAGGATTCATCCATTACCAAAACCCATTTATTTGCAAGTTCGCATAGAAGTTAATATATAGTTCTGCCGCCCAACAGTTCATCTTGGCATCCGGCACACCAGTGAAATGTTTACCTCCTGAATTTTCCTTCAGTGTCAAAAAAGCGCCTTGTTTTTTTCTACAGCCTCACTAAAAACAAACAAGCAAGCAAGCAAACTCCTTCCCCCCGCCCCCCAAGCAGCCCACAAGAGATTCTTGGAAACAGAACAGAAAATAATGGCTTAATACTTACATCAATGATTTTTCTATCTACCATCCATAGCTTAATATAAAAACTAGTATCAATAAAAGGGTTTCATAAGTAATCAGGAAGTCAAAGTTCTGTTGCAATGAAACACTAATACAGGACAAAACACGAAATCCACGTGACAAAATGGACGCACCCTGTTGGGTACCAGTGCCATTAGATGTCAGCAAGGCCACCAAACTCATATACAAAAGGAGGAATGAGATTTTTAATTACATATCAGTAACAACTGGTCACTTGGCAACTTAACTTTTTTATCATGATGCCTCATTAGTAAACACTTAAGCCCACAGCAGGAGATATGCAGTAGTAATGATACCTGCCCTCTAATCCTAGCAGATCACTATTTGGTATAAAATTTGAAAGCAATAATAGTGAAGGCTAGTCTCAGGAGTCCATACCCAGATATCTTACGCATAGTACTCCATGAACAGCCTGCAGCTGATCAGTGTGCTCTCAAAGAGGTGGGGTGAGGTGGGGTTTTGTTGGATTTTGTTTTTGTTTGGTTGGCATTTGTTTGTCTTGAACTGTAGTTTTTCTTGTGCTCTTTGTAAAGGCAAGGTAAGTGTAAAATGCCTCTGACTGAAAAAACAGTGACTCAAAAGCACACCTTACTGCTCTCCATTTCAGAGGTGAGGGAAAACCCAAAATCTTTGTTCAACTCAAAACAGTTGACTACTACACTCAACAACTAGTTGCTTGCTTATAGATCATCAACCAGCAGACTTATGAGGAAATCAAAATCAACTCCTCCACTTTAGAACCGCTTCTTTTTCCATGACTGTTGCATGTCCACAAAGGCCATTTTTTAAAAGCCTTGGATATTATATGCCCAAGGTCACATATCCAAGGTACGAGAGGATACTGCCATCCTCCTTTCAAACAAATGTCAAAAGCCCTGTAAATAGCTCTTGCTCACAACTTGTTATCTAGACAAGCCTTCCTTTCCCCCTTTGTTGCCACCTTTCTTTTTAAGCATTTCATGGGTGGGTGAAATAATACATAGATGTTTCTATTTGTACAATGTTGAGAGGTAATTTGTAAGAATTAGCAAACAGTGTGGGAGTCATCTGGTTTTTTTCAAAATGTAATCAAGAAACATGGGTCCAGATTTCTTAGTAGGAATTCCAGTGATGTGAGTATTACTCTGGTGCATATATCTTCTATTTAAGTTATTTGAGTAGAAACTTTTTTCCCTTTCTTGAAAAGACTTTGACCAGATTTACTGCATAGTATTGAAATAAACTACCTTTCAGAGCTTGGGCCTGAGACTGTCATAGTCAGGGAAAGAAGGATGAGTGTCTTTAAGATCAGAGAACATTAGAATTGAAAACAGAATGACTATATTCTCAAGTCCAACACATTTTTAAAGAAAATAAATTTTGATTGGTTGCCATGCAAATGGATATGTGTTTTCCTTTCATATTGACAAAAACATAAGCACCTCGTAAGTTTGGGATGTTTAAGTTACAGAAAATAAAGACTTGCCAGGTATTTTATCTTCTAATTCTTACTGAGTGGCTTTAACACTAGAATATGGTGTTCACAGTCAACTAGAAAAAGATAGCAGAAAAGATTTCAGGCAAGTTCTACATGCTTTAAAACTTGCCTTTGACATGATACAGTTCAGGCTTCCATCTGACGGAAAAACAAATTCAAGAGGAAGAATGTGACTTTATCAAATAGTCTTATACTGTTTTTTATCTTCTTGCATATTGCCTGATGGCCTGGAAAGCAATATATTGTTGTTCCAAACCTTCTGTGTGCTACGCATCTTACTACAGAGTAGTTCAGATTACCTTTTTAAGGAGAAACTAAGTCCACATGTGAAGAGCATGCTGTGTCAATGAACTGGACTTGCTCTTCATGCTTTAAATTTAAAACACTTCTGCAGCAAATTTTGAAACAGACAATAGATGTACTGCTTGATGGCAGTGGTTTCTTATGCTACTTACTTTAACTTACTTACCAGGAAGATTATGCCACTTGTTTACAGCAAATAGCCTATTTGCAGTAACTGTGATCACAGCAGGAGTGGCCAGACCAGGCTGGGTGTTGGCTGCTACATGAGTCACAGGGGAGTTGGATGGGAACTTTAGAACCATGATAACGTCCTGTTGAGCTTGGTCTGTGAACATCAATGGACTCTGCAGGAGGAGATACTGTTGAGTGCACACAACAAGAACCCAAATACACGGGAAAAGAAAACATGGGGAGGAGAAAAGAAGACAGGACAAGAGAAGGAAGATTGGATTAAAACACGCAAGATCCAAAAGCAGCTGCAGTGAAAAGCAAAAGCAGTAATAGTAGACAGGCTTGTGCAAACAACCATCTTAGGTAGAAAAACCTTCACGTACGCTATTGAGGGCCTTGCTGAACACAAGGTGTTTATATACAAACTTTGCTACAGATCACAGCAGACTAAACTAAAAGTTTCCAATCACCTATCTCTGCCAAAAGAATGCTCCTTCGTATCTACAGAGATAGCATGTTAAGAAAAGCAAAGCCAAACTAGGAGGGAACAAAAAAAAAAAAAAGAAGTGCGCAACAGAAATTCCTGCTTTCAGAGATTGTCTCAAGTTGCATTAAATTGGCAGACTGCAATTCTTTACAAGCCAGATGAGAACATGAAAGCACATTAAAATAAACAGATACACACATACACTAGATATATGTTCTGTATATATTTCTGGTGTACAAAAATAAGATTTATGAATGCAAAGTAGAAGACTTCACTGCAAATGTGTTTCAAAGGACAAACATAATTAAATGCAGTTGTAAAGAATATAAAGTGGACGTGATTACAGACACTATCCTGCATTGTTTCTAGAAATACTAAAGGGAGGGAATGAATCCTGACTCTCATTTTCAACATAATGTTTTTAGGTTTTAGTTTTTTAATTTAATAAGTTGAGAAGTTTAATAACTTTTTAAACTACGCTCTCTAACAACACTGCAAATGCCGAAAAAAAAATGTCAAGGACCTTAGATCCAGATACCAAATGTAAGGAGGAAAAGTAAAACTTAATGGGTTTATGATCGTGTGGTGTACCTAAAAAAGAGAATTCCACTGACATCCTAGTCACAAGTAGCCATATTGCTCTAGTATTCGTAATTTTCTAATAACTGAATTAGAACACTAATGAAGTGTTCTTGGCTATTTTCCACCTGCAATATTTCATTACATATATGTGTATGTAAGTGCATACATTTAATGTATATTTATACAGAACTAATAAAAAAATTAAATACATTTGCATTTTTATTATCACTCCTTTTTAAAAAGTTATTAAGAGTACTTAGAAAAACATATTGCTCTATGAATTCCTATTTACAGTCTTTGCATAAAGGTGTAAATAAAAGCAACTAATAAGCTACCCAGACACCCTTCTGAGCAAGTGGCTAAAAGCCAATCAATATTATGAGTTAATCCTCCCTGGATGCTCATTCAATTAAAGGTGTCAGTAATGCCTCATCTGATGTGGCCTCAATTAAATCCAGCTATCTGATGGTTGAAAACACAAGGGGATACAGCAACAGCAGCAAAACCAGACAAATAAGCAGCCTTCGAGTGACTGCTAATTACTACACCTGGTGTATATTATGGCTTGTGCACTTAACACAGCACGTGGTAGCTTTCAATTCGGCTGTATTCATGCATACACTCACACACACATGAAAACAGAAAAGTCAGTAAATAATACAACTAGAAATAATTCAAAATTGTAATAGGGAAAACATCCTTACTGTCATTCAGCTCCAGAAATACTACTTTTAAAACAACTTAATATAGTGCTATTATAAAATCATGTGTTAATAACCACAAAACCGGTCAAAGCAGGTGGAGAACTAAGGGCTGTTTTTCCTCCATGTACCTCAGCCCGAAAAAAACACAGGAGTTAGAAACAGTTAACTTCACAGAATTTAACTTTTTCCATTGCATACTAAATCTTTACTAACTCAGTGTCATGAAAAATATTATAACAAAGCCACACAAACGGCTTCCTGGCATCAAATTTATTTATATAACAATGGGTCTGACAAACACGTCAACAATCGACTTCTCATGTTCCTTCTCTTCCTGAAACAAATCCCTCTAAATTAGGACAAGTGCCTAGTGCAGGGCACCATGACAGACGGACACACATATGGTGTGTAGCTCTACGATAAGAGCACTTGGGCTCCCCAACAGCCCTGTTAAGTGGGCACTTCTGAAAGACAGAGCTGCCTGGGTTGCACACAGAAGTCACTGCAGTGGCCTGCAGCCCTGGGACACTGCGTGGGAGGGGCAATGGGCCAACAGATCACAAAGCAGCAGTCAGCTCTGTCCATCCAGTACATGGGATCCCAGGGCAGGAGCATGTCTACGGCACAGCTGTCAAAGTGTAGTATGTACTGGCTGCAGAAAGGGTGGTGGGGATGGGGGGACAGTCAGCCGAGCAAGTCACATGTACAACACATGACATATCTGAGAAAGGCTAGTAGCCCAATTTGACGAGAAAGTTTATGTTTCTTAGACTCCTACGTCACACGTTTTGCAAGCTACTTTGGAAACATTTCAGATTTTTGTGCAATTTTTCTAAAACCTTTTGAACTTCAGATATGTTTTTAATCTAATAACCTTCATCTGCCTGAATAGGATGTACATCTTACAGAACGTACAAGAATAAAATGTCTTTTTTTATATTTCAGTGTAAAATTCCCATCTTAACAATAAGGGAATGTAAACTTTTGAAAAACTTGTGAATTGGCAGACTATTTGCTCCACTTGTCAGAGTATCAGTTAAGATACTTAGTTCTGGATCTATGACAACACAAATGATATTTTAGACCCAAGGACTGCACACAACATGAGATGGAAAGTAATCAGTAATAAAATAATAGTTTGTATAATAAAATTATATTAGACACAAGTAGAGGTAAAAGGGAAAGCATGTTAATGCTCACTGCCTGGATTTTATCACCCTAGCTTTACTGCAAAACACATTTAGTCACATTCTTTGCTATGTAAGTTTCAGCTCATGAATTCCTAGTAATCCTGGTTTTAGGGGAAAACCTTTGCCTGGGGGAAAAGACAAGGAAGTTCCACCTCCTAAATCCATGCTTCTTGGGGAATCTGCCAAAGATTAACTCAATTGTCTCCATGATGACTGGCTCTCACCTGTACAGGTATGGTATTAACAAAATCAACTGATGAAGTGTTCTTAGATTACATTGACAAAAAAGATCTGTACTAGAAATCAATACAATCCTTTCAGCAATAAATAAAATAATAGTTAAACACTGCATACACTCCCAGACCTACAAAATCGTAACTCACATGCTGTTTGTTATAACACAATTCCACGACCATATAAAAGCAAAGCAAAGTGGCCGGTTCTGTAACTTTTAAGATAGCAAAGGAAGTGAACAAAATGGCAGGTCACAAAGAGTTAACATGGTACTTACCACCTGCATGGCAGAACTTCTTGGAGGATGTGGTTCTATGAGCAGTTGGGAAGGGGTCTGTCCAAAGCTTCGTATTTGAGCTTCAACAGCCTGGAAAAGGCACAGGCAGGTTTGCATGTTAAGAGGTGCTAATTACAGGCAATAGAACCATAACTGTCACCTGAAAATGTCATGCCACACTTCTGGCTTGTTTCATGTTGAAAATCAACCCCGTGTGTTCACTGTGGGGCTAAGTGCTTGGCACTGGTACGAAGAATGAGGTAATCATTTTAGTACTGTGGATGCTATTTCCATGAGAAACTCTGCAAAACCTCATCCTGCTCAATGATATTAAACAGAAACAAGCTATTATAATCAGAAACCCTCTTTATTGGCTCAATTTTTCCTTTCTAACACTGGCTTATCCTGTTTGTATCATAACTCAGAAACAAAAGTTAATATTTAAAAAGTTTCTATAGGTATTAAGAGTGTTTACTTTCCATTTAAAATCCACTGCTTAGTTTCACAGCAATAACTACAATGAAAGCGATACCAGGCTTTTTTCTTATTTTCATTTTTATTCAAAAAGAGCAAACAACTTTAGGATGCATTAAACTACCACCAGCAAGACTAATATTAAATGCAGATAAAGGAGAATGTGAAGATAATAATGCAAGAAATTTTTTTTAAAGTTTCTCTGTATCTTCAGCAACACGCTTTATCACTTTCCTCATAGGGTATACATGAAAATACTATCTCTTGATTAGCAATTTCTTAAAAATAATTATTCTGAACTTAGAGTTCAGAATATATCTTATATAAGTGTGAACTTATACCTCTTGCCTAGGCATGCCCAACTAGTTTCCCATGTTGCCACCTACTGGGCCACTGGCTTAAAGATAAAATCAAGCAGCCAAAATTCACCAAGTTATTTCTTGTCAGCCAGACCCCTGCACTATCCACAGAAATAGGTTAACACTACAGAAAATCTTAAATCACTCATCTTAGATTAAATCTCTTTCACTGTGAGCTAAACTAAGTAAAAGTACCTTGCACTTGCTATGGGCTAACAGATTGCATATGGGCCGACACTTTAGTTTCTCTGTTGCATGGCGCATTCAGCCTTACATTTTCAAAAGTGTCTAGTGATGCTGAGTACCTAAGGTAAGGCATTAGCAAGTCCTACTTTCCTAAGAAGACCTGAAAACCAGGCCCTTCAAAAAACTGTTTTAAATTGGACACTTGAATGCTAAAACACAAAACCCCTAGCCACTTTTTAGTGATTAAAACACCATGGTTTTTTTCTGAGATTCTTCTTTTTTTGTGGTTCAACATACCTTGAGGCTCCTTACGCTTGTACTTCCTGTTCTATTTTAGCCAGCCATTAAAATTTTTGAGACAATGGAATTACACTTACGCTGAACTTACTTTTACAAACAACTATTTTTAGAAAATAATAAAGACTTACTAGGACACACAATGTTCTCCTGTTACAAAACCAAAAGCAGAATGCACCTGAGGCCTTAAGATCATAAAAAATAATCATCCTCTGATAACAAAACGCTTATTACACTTGGCAGGGCTTTTGAAACATCAGAACTCACCAGAACAGGAGCTGCAATTACTCTACGGACAAATTCTAACACTCTTGCCCGCTTTGGTAAGCACCTTAATCTTCAAAGAACTGGTGAATGGTAAGTTTATCAAAAAGCTGGCTGAAATCTGACATACAAACAGCGTGATTCAATGAGTATTTTCTGAAGAATAGCAGTATCAGATTCGTGAAACACTAAAGCTCGGTATGACCATCAGAGTCCCCTTCCTAGTGATGAGACATCCTACATTAAAATTCAAATCTGGGTTTCTGCAACTCCAGATATCAAGGGAAACACAAGGGCACAGAATTTGAGGTCCCTTAAGACGTGAGGCATTAATAAAACAACAGCACACTGGTCAGCAGCTCTACCTCCTCCATAAAAAGCTATGAGATTCAAAATACCCAGGTTAAAAAGATTTGCCTACATTTACTTGCAGATTGAGTGGAATATTTTTACTAGCAAATGGGAATTCTGCATTGCATTGAGGGTAGAACCAGAACAACATAGAAGGAGCAGAATGCAGACAGTCCTGGATGTCAGTTATTCTGTGCTTGTTAAAATCTTTAGGGAAAGTCTATAGGATCTACTGTTTACTTCCTATAAAATAGAAATCCAATATATTATTCAAAATGAATAAAATATTATTGAAGCACAACTCCCATGCATTTCTTTTAGAGTTGAAAATAGAATAGATACAAGGAGGAAATAATAAGCTCCAGACTTGTTAACTTCCTTAACTTAGGATCAATACAGAAACTTCCACTCCCAAACAGCCCACATTCAGCATTTAAAGGGAGTCAAAATTTTGTCTTACCCATGAAATCTGGTATGCTCTTTAATTCCCCATGCTACCTCTACAAACTATACTCTCTTAGTGCCAGTACTAAGAAAGGGAAAACAGATGATACCACATATTAATGCAGAGCATTTCAAATACATTCATCATAACAAGAGCCCAAACTACTGCAGAACAAAGATCAAATGTTATAACTGCTTTAATCAATGAAAGATCAGCAGTCAGAATCTTATTTTCCACAGTCCAGTTCTCAGAGGAACTCACCACCTTCTAGCAACATAAAAACTGGAAGAGATACAGCTACGATTTCGCTGCTCACTCATATACATGGTGTTCATCATTATCACACGCCTAGACCACACAACAGCAAAAGTAGAACAGCTCTTTGTCTCCCACGAACCTTCAGTGCAGAAGAGAATCCTCTGGGATATTAAAAGCAAAAATAAAATATTCTACTCAACCTGCAAGTAGATCGCCATTGCCTGTTTTCACATAATGTTCTGTCAGAACTGGTGAAACTGCTGACAAATGGGGCAATGATTTTGCCAAAGCCTGCCCTAGCAGATCACAAATTCTGTTTTCAGTCTTTAACAGACAGTTTCTACATCCATGTTCATGATCTAGCCTGAGTTTAGGGTCTACAGTTCCAGCACAAACAAGTCTTTTAGACTCATTAGGTTCCATCTGGTCCTTCTGAAAAATATTAGAGACTTCATTTCCAGGATCACATTAGCTCCCCAACACAATCGTTCCCTTTTAGTCAACAGAACCGGGAAAAATCTACATTCAGATCGTGTCCTACCATAGGTAATAAGGTTTCATAAAACATCAAAACTGTACATAGAGTAAAGGCACAGGTACTGGTACCTGTATGGCCTCTTCGCTGACACCTTCGTAGATCCAAAAGAAATTTGAAAAACTGTTGAGTAAAGGCAGTAACACTTGGACAATTATGTCTAGAGATACTGGCTAGACTTCAGCATAAAAACCATTTGCATTCCTTTTAATTACCAAGAAAAAAGTAAAATATTTCTTTATTTAGCTTCTGCATTTCTTAATTATGACCAAGAGAGTGTATTAGCAACTCAAACGATTCCTTCCTTTTCCCAGATTGTATTCAAAGACAATCCAGATGCCAACTCCATGTTCTAATGATGTCTCAGTCAGAAGGATCACATACAGAAGGATGCAAGATGACCTCCCTCTGTCAGCAGAAACATGTGATGGTGGAGCTAGAATCAATCCCCACTCTCTCAATTTACATAACAATAGAAAGATAAATACAGGGCATTCTAGCCACCAGATGTCACTCAGACTTTTGTTTAGCCTGTCAAAGAAAATCAGCTAGGAGCAAGGAATCTTTTCCTCAGAGAAATAATTAATATTTCCTTTGAAGAAAACAACCTGCCACTTACCTGAGAATATACAGTAAAATGATTATCAGTCAAAAAAAGGCATCAACTCTCTTTCTAACAAACTATAGCCCAGCTTCTAACTTAACTTAATCTTCTTGAAAAATGTATTATAGAATCATACAATCATTAGGCTGGAAGAGATCTCTAAGATCATCAGGTCCATTAGTTGGTACAACTAAGAGATGGCCAGCTTCTTCTAGTGGCAGAGGAAGGGCACTGTTTTCACATTGCTGAATCCCTCTGGAGCATACAACCATTTAAATTACTGTAGGTAGAAAAATTTGGGAAATTTGCACAACCAGTTTCACATCTATTAAAGGCACTCTGTAACTGGAAAGGAATAACCTTTGTTTGAAAGGTATCTTTAGTTCCACAAACTCTTATCTCTGAAAGCATGCTGTATACGACAGAGTAAAAGATAATATAATTCAACATTTTGTTTCACTGCTTCTCAAATATCTCAGTAAAACAGCCTTCTTCCTGTTAATCCTCTACAAAAATAAAACTTCGGAAAGGCCAGAATTGTTCCAGATGCTACAACAAGAAGTAATAAAATGAAACAAGGTAACTAACCCTTTACATTAATCCACACAGTATGCATCTCAAACCACATACTTATATGATAAACATGGTATTTCAAATGTTAATTAATTTATTATATAAAAGCCACAAGCAAATTTCACAAGTTAACATTTGATTACCACAATAATCTGGTCCTAAAAAAGTCTCCTGGATCTTCTCTTTTCTTGGGGGGTCGGAAGTGAGGAAGGGGAACCGGGAAGTAAATAAAAAACCGAAGGGTGAAACACTGGAAAACTTAGTTTAGCTATAATGTAGCTTTTGGCCACTGCCTAGTACGGACCTTTTCAGTCTCTAAACTTACCCTCTAATCTAACTGTGAAGAAAGTTAATTCAACAGTATGCAGTACCCACCAAATACGGCTGTAAATTTTTTGGGAAGGAGGGTGATGGGGAGGTTGAACATATGGATGCAGTTAAGGTAAAAACAGATGTTTGTTACTTTTCTTTGCAGCAACACTCAGAAACTAAGTCAAAATTGCTTTTTTTTCATGTTTATGTCTGAGAGAACTATAAAATTAAATATGAGGGAGGGCGGGTGGAGGGGGAGCTGCAGTGAGTGTCACAGAGAAAGAATGAAACGGTCTCCAGTTTTGAACTCAAATCCTGAAATGAAGGCCCATATAGTTAAAAGGCAAGACATACACCATTTAACTCTAGATTTAAAGACCCTTAGAGTCTCAGAGTTACTTTCATCATGCCTACTCAGACACAAAACACCAA